GGCAAGTTTATTTATATAGCACATTTCATACACAATGGTAATTCAAAGTGCTTTAAATAAAAATAATCATTTAAAAAAAATCACAACTAAAAACAAGGAATTTAAATGATTTAAAAATTTATTTAAAATGAATAAAAAATAAAAAATGATTATACATGGAAACATTTATGTGTATCAAAGATTTGATACACACACATTACAGATACAGATAGTTTTGAACATGAGAAAGTGAAGAATGTAAGACACAAATATTAATATTGTAGCTTGCAGTGTAAAATAAAATATTTTTATATATATATATTTATTTATTTATTATTTCACAGGACAATTGCAATTTACAACTGTAATATATTTATATTTTCATTTTAGAGTTAAAACAATAATAATAATGTCTACATATGTGCAGCCCTATATATAAATAATTTCACAATAAAAACAAAACACTTAATGAAGAAGATACGTGAAAACGTAATATATTTAAAATACATTTATTTCATACTAAGTATAGTTTAAATCTATTAACATATTTACTGACAGATAACTCGAGACTTACGGATATGAAAATTATAATTAAACTTTACTTGGAATATTACTTGTGCACAATGCACTTTTCTTAATATTAAGTCTAAAATGTGTTTTAATGTCACTTTTGATGAGGATTGTATGATCTTTGACTTTAAACGCAAAATATTTAAAGTGTACTTGCAATAGTTCCACTTTAGCACAATCAAGTATACTAAGTATCATTACAAGTGTATAGTATGCACAATTAAAGTGCATTAAGTACAAAATTAGTTGTTTCAATTTAGCAGATACCAGTTTAGTGTACTAAAAGTACAATTGCAGGACATTTTATTTAGTACATAAACGTGTATTTGTAGTATACTTGGCATGAAATAAATGTATTTCAGATACATTTAAGTGTGTTTATTTTTGAGTAGGGTTGTGGACTTTGAGTCAGTATGTGTGTGAAAGGCTGATTGTGATGTGTTTCAGGAGGATGGCGCGTCTCGTGGACAGAACGCCGCAGGTACTTGTGCATCTGACTGAGAGTGCAGTAAGTGTGTTTCTCAGGTGAGCTCAGGTGTGCTGTGTGTCGTTCTGCAGATGCAGTGAAGAAGCCGTGGGACCGAGCCAGTTCAGCCGAGAGATCCTCGCTGGTGTCCAGGTCAGAAACACAACATCGCTATCAATCCAGGTTCTCTACACACATACTGGCAGAGGCGTAGCCATCATTTCAGAAGTGAGGGGGACAGACATGTAATATATATATATATATATATATATAACATTACAATATAACATTTCTGTAATATATAACCTACCAGTCAAAAGTTTTTTTACGTTTTTAAAGAAGTCTCTTCTGCTCACCAAGCCTGCATTTATTTGATTCAA